TACTAGCCATTCTTGTACAAAATGAAAGACTGTCCCTTTAAATTGAAAAGTAACAAAAGAATGTGCGAATCAACCTGGCAAAGAAAACAAATAAAAATGAATAACCCTTTTGCTTTATAAAAAAAAATCTGTAGTGTATAGTAAAACCGGAGATACTGCTTAATTGTGCTCGAACATTTACTTAACAAATTAAAATATCTACAAGCAGTGTATATAGAATTACAAGATTCATCAATAAGAACATAGTATATCTTACTACGTTTAGCGACAGTAAACAATTAGTTTCTGTCTCTTTCATTAGCAAAAAATGAGTAACCTTTTACTATATTACATAGTTAGAATTAAAACTTAACATAAAAAATATCTTTTAGCAAAACTGTAATCTAAATTAAAATGTCTTTACCATAAACAAATCATAAAAATCTATTAAAACCGAAACCAAATAAATCAAAGTGTTTTTATCGTAAATAGTCCACAAAATACTGTAAACAGATACTTTAAGTCTTTGAAATATTAACATAAAAGTCAAGCATGCATCTTCCCACCTGATAACGGTTCGTAGATAATACCTCCAACTGTTTGTTTATCCAAAGGTTACGTCAGCCGTCCTTCAAGCGATCTGTCCGCCAGCCATTCAACGATTCTCGGAATGGTCGATGCGTCGTTGCAAAATCCAAACGCCTCGATATCGCTTCCACTGAGTAAGCACTATACTGTGACTAAGGTTCCTGTGTTGAATCGAACATTAATATTATGTTTCGACAATATTGGCGCCTTTTTTTGTTTTGGATCCCGGACGAGTCCCCAACTTGTAGGCTTTGTTGTGTTGTCTAGGGTGTAAAATAAAGTTTTGCTTACTAAAAGTATTTATTATCGTCACTACAACTGTTCGTCTAGGTAATAATGTTCGTGCACAATAGCAATATCACTCTTACTCGCAAATGTCTCGTGTCTATCGTCGTACCGTCGTTGTGTATGATCTCTGATTTCGCACATACCGTCGTCAATGTATGTTATATCACATACCGTCGTTTATTTCGTCACTTTGTATGCCGCACATGCACATACCGTACTTTTGTTACCGCTCTCTCTGCTACGTCTTATCACGTCGCTGTCTCGTCGTCGAGTCCCTACCATTTGCCTGAACACCCGTTTCCCAGCGCTCGAACAGTGGCGTAACGATAAATTCTAACTTAAGACTAAAGTAACTAATTCCTACATATATATATATATATATATATATATATATATATATATATATATATATATATATATATATTTATATATAAACGTTTATATATTTTTAAATTTACACCTTTTTTGGTTGAACCAGGAGACGTACTTTCGCAAAATAATTTTGAGTCGATTGTGTATTTGCCGAACAATTAAAGAATATAAGCAGACTGGAACAGTAAGATGTCCTAAAAATATTGACGGTCCACCTTCTATTCTTGCAACATACGATGAAAGAGTTAAAACATCTGTACGGCAGATAGTACACAGCTTCTTTTTCAAGAATGAAATGCCCACTTTAAGTAAAATTTTAAGAGAAATTACCAACCGCTCAGATCTTCCAAAGTATGTGTTGTTCATTATTATATAAATTCTTGAAGCAAATCAATTTTAATTTGAAGTAAATATGGGTTAACCACAATTGTATAGTAAAATTATCTAAAACATTTTATAGGTTTCATTTTTATAATCGGGTATCTTATCGTTACTACTAAATAGATTTTGTAATTAAAAATTATGAGCTACATGAGAATTGACTGTAATAGTACCCTTCTTATTTGATCAAAATATTTTTCCTATTTATAGACATAAGTACAACAGCCTTTGTATTACATGTTTTTGGAAACATACTAGTGTACAAATATTTTCATTTTAAGTATCTTGTACTGATATTTCACTGTTCTCATTTAAATATATTATACTTGGTATGTTTGATGATGAGTATACTAAGTAATGATCTCATAAAGTAAGTTATTAAAAAAAATAAATTTTAAGTTTTTAATTATATACTTACTCTACAGGAATGTTGTCAAGTATTTTGGTTCAACAGATATAAGAATATGGAAAGGGAAGAAAAAGAAAAAAAAAAGAATATTTTTTGCTTTACATAGTTATTTTTTAGGTGAAATTATTCAAAGAATGGTTTATACATTGGGCTGCTGACCAAAAACAAAACTTTCTTGCTAAAATATCTGAAATAGATTCAGTTTTTGCTAAAAAACTAAATGAAGAAATTCAAAATGGTGTAGTTGTTCATGAACCTTACCAAAAAATAAATGGAGAGGATATTTAGGAAGACTAATAAAATTATTAAATTTTTATTTTTACATACATCCCGAATATATATTATGTACAGAATATTATTTTCCTCTAATATATAAATCAATTTCTGACTCTTTAAGTTGTTTGTAATAACTTGGACTTGGTGATTATGCAAATAGTATTTAATGTGATATTTTTCTAGATATTTATACTAAATATAGTTTAAAGTGTTTATAAATTTATAAATGTATGTTATTTGTATCTAATTATCGTAAGAAAAATAGCAACTATCTTTAAAATTTAGTGTATACTTGTTAAGAAGCATTTTCATTCGGTTTTCATCATAATAAAAGAACATTAATAAAGTAACATGTTGTTTTTAGTTTAATTGTATTGATACAGTTGGTTTTGTTCTTCCTGGTTGTAGATCATCACAAGAAAACTGCAAAATTATGCTAGAATATACCATAATAGATTGAATTTGTTGATTATCTCACAGAAATCCAGTATTTTTTAGTAAATTTTATTTATTGATAAAAACTGGGACAAACTCACTGTCAAAATGAAACAAGAATCCAGCAATAAAGAAATTGTAAGTACACAATTATTTATACAAAGTATCTTTGTATGTAAAACAAATTGGCTGCAGCAATTCAGGACATTTGATTCATCATCATCATCACTGGCTCAACAACCCTTTTTGGGTCTTGGCCTGTTCAAGGATTCTTCTCCATTCTGACCTGTTTCTTGCTTTTTTTTCCAGTTTTTAATTTTTAATGTTGTTATATCATTTTCTATTTGTTCTACGTATCTCAGCTTCGGTCTTCCGCTTGTTCTTTTTCCTACTGGCACTTGTTTGAATCTGAGGAGATTTGATTATTAAGCTTAAAAATAATTATCAAAGTCAAAGTTAACTCTTCTGGTAAGAAAAAAAAACTAGATTCAACAAATTGATCACACCAGAATAAGAATATGGTCTATGCAGTTTAAAAGAACAGTATTTCAGAAATCTTTGAACTCTCTCTAACTTTTTGATACATGTATTTGCATTGCTTTGTTGCATATAAGATCTATTTGCAAATTAAAAGACAAATTTCTGTGAAAAACCATACTTAGATATGTAACATTATCGACTCTCTACTCTAATGTGAAATATGTTCTTTTTTTATTGTAATAATTGTAATATATATTGGAAGTGAATTGAAAAAAATTATTATTCAAACATAAATAAACAATATGCAACGTTAGGTTAAAATTGACCTGTAAGGTTGTCCGATATTGATTACTCAATTACTGCAAGGCCGAGATAATCAACAAAAAAAGAAGATGTATTTGGTGACTTTTCTAGTAACTTTCATGTTTATGAATCTGTCTTTTTGGTTTACTCCTCCTGGTTAAAAAACAGAGTATAGTACATGCATGGTTAATTAAAAATTAACTGAATTATCCCTTTCTGGGAGACTTGTGCATTCACAGCCCTACCCCAAAAATGTATATTGTAGGCCAAATGAGAATAAACAATTGCATAGTAAACATTCAATAACTGTTATACTTTAAGAAAACTTTTTAATTGCAAAATTGCATAATATCTACTATTTCTTTTGCAAATGTGATTAATTTGAGATTCCCAGCTCATGTTATTATCAAGATACAAACTTAAAAGTTTAGTGGAAGTTCTATAATGAACCATGATATCATTTTTAATTTTATAGAAAAGTGGTAGCTTGATTGTGATCTATAGCAGAATTGCATGCTTGTGGTTTTTTAGCATCAACAATCAAAAAATTTTCATTGATGTAGATGGTGTTTTTGACTTTTATTGACTGATTTTTGTTGACCATCCACTTTTCTTTTTGATACTGTTAATCTAATATATGCATTCAACATTGTCTTCCCAAAGATATTAAAAACTACTTTCATCCAATTCTTCAATGTAGTTCTTTCTTCCAGGTAAAGTAACTTATCTGATTCATCTACCTATCCAGTTCTTACTATAATTCTTATGGATCACATACCACTGTTTTTCATGGGTTCATAATTTTCCCTTTTGAACACAATTTGTGTTGCTTCTACTGATATAATATATATATATATATATATATATATATATATATATATATATATATATATATATATTTTTCATACCTAGGAATATAAGTAAAAAATAGACTTTCTGATGTATTAAAAATATATATTCACAACTAGACCTGGTGTCATGTGAGGAATGACAAGGATCACACGAAGGTTAAGAAAACTACTTAAACTCTTTTGTGAGACTGACAGAAACATGGTGAGTAATATAAAAGATAACAAAAAAACATGTACTGGAAAAATATAAAAGCAGTGAGACAAAACATTGCTTTAAGAAACAACCTAAAAAATCATATATCTCACCAGCTGTCAAAACCATCAAAAACAGCTACTCACTCATAAAATATGCAAACCACCTTAACACTTTTAGAAAATTCTAGAAAATAACACAGTCATAAAGCTAGTTTTTTTTGCGCTTCAGTACTACCAATTATTTTAACTCCATGGATTACTAAGTCATACATAACACAGCAATTGTTTATCAGATCTGTGTCAATAAATTGAAATCTCATATTAAAAAAATAATAATAAAAGTAATTATAATAAATACAGAATCAATCTCTTATATAACAAATTTGTTGTAAAAAATAAATGTCACACTCCTGGTGATAGATAGAATTATTATTGTTCCTTACCTCTAAACCATCTGGAGTAGCTTTTGATCCTTTACTGGTATCAATATATACAGAAATATTTTTAAAGCATCCTAATTCATCCAATTTTACACGAGCCTAAAAACGAAAAGTAAAAAATAATTATGTTGAAAAAATATAGAAAGAAACTTACTTTATGTGCTTTTAGAAGTACATCTTGAAAATCTTTTGCTTTAAATAGTTCCTTAATACAATCTTCTATAATATCATTTTTCGTTCGTGATAACCCATCTACATGTATTTTGTCTACTCTAGCCTACAATCATTGATATTTTTAGTACAATTACACTAGATTTATTTAATAATAATAAGTGTTAAATAATAACTTAAATACCTTTACACCTTCCAAGTCGATTTCTTTAATGTGTTCCTTATCCGGAGGCTCCCTAAACATGGCTTTACTGTTTAAGTTAGAATTGGGGGTATCTGTTAAATCGGCCTGAAAATTCTAGGTTAGAGTTATTAATACATTTTGTATGTTGCTTAAATCGGCTTACTTTAGCATGCACCGTTCCCATTTTATTTAACGTGATAGCACTTATATCAATTTAAAACATCTCATTCATATCTCCCTTAAATTCAACCTTTATTTGATTTTAGAAAAAAATCTGACGGACTTCTAGCCAAAAAACCATAAATCAGTCACAGGACAGGCGTCACAGCACAGAACACACACCCCGTCAGGGCCGTCAGCTTGACTTTTGACACCTAGAAAATCGTTCCCACCAATGACGTATAATATATAGACTACGCAGTCCCCTATTCTCGCTATAGAATGAAGTGTCCGAAAGATCTCGGCTCAAGCCATCGAGCAATAAGACAAAAGAGGGAATGTAAAGGTAGAAGGGGTAAACATATTGATAGACAGGAAGTGCCATCTTGAGAGGCCACTTTAGACAAGGATAGACAGTCTCTATCCTTGTTTAAGAAGTCAAATTTAGTTTGGTTATGTTATTGTTTGTCCCAACTGTCACATGAAATTTTATTTATATTGAAGTTTTTTACCAATTGAGTCAATTTTTAGACTATTATCGTTAATATTTAATTAAAACTTTCTTGTCTGAAAAATATTTTACAGCTATTGTTAACAAGTGTTGGAAAATTTAAATTTAGCGCCTTTGCATTTCCGGATGTGTCCGCCATCAGAGGCCACTTTTTTGGTCTCCTTTTTATAACGATTAGATTCCCTCTTTTGTCTTATTGCTCGATGGCTCAAGCACAGAATAATAAACAAACAGAATACCCACTCTCCACGGAAAATTAAGTACGCGCATCTCCTCCGCGCAGACGTTCCGCCATGTTTTAGGAGGATTTTAAAGAAATTAGTGTTGTTTATGTGGTGTGCATGGAAAAATTAACCAGGTTTATTTGACTTACGGCAATCAAAGACATACAATACAATTATATTAACATTGTTAAATATAATAACATAAATATAATATAATTAAACATAAATATAAACAATTACATAACCACACAAATCATATGTCTGTGTCCTCCTAAAACATGGCGCGCGTGCTGAAAAACTTCAAAGGCGGCATCTGAGAGTGGCCCTTCTGTTTGTTTATTATTCTGTGGCTCAAGTTTGAAGGTATGTTTATCACAACAGCGGCGTGCTCATTTATATGTTAATGACAATAATTATTTTTTTAATTAAAATTAAATATTTATGATTTCTTTTTGTTCCCGTCTATAAGAGAAATAATTATTTTGATAAAATAGTATGGCATTTTACTTAAATAGTAAGTAAATAACTCTCAACATTTTAAAATAAAATTTGCTGTCACCCAAAATGGAAAAAATGTTTTCATACGTCCATGATGTTTTCAAACACAAGATCAACTTCGTGATGCTTCGTAAGAAATCATGAACTTCGTGCATCTTCGTATCAAAACAATAAACAATAACAAAGGTATTCATGTTTTGGACACTTTTTAAAGCGTTCACCGAGTCTATATATTATACGTCATTGGTTCCCACCATAATATAAGGAAACAAGGTATGCTCACTAGTGGACTCGTTTTTGCACATTTCTGCGCCGACCAAAATCCACCATCTTTTTAATATGTCACATGTGTGTAGGGATGGTGACCTGATCCCGTACCAGTTAGGTACTTTGGAACATGTATTTTATTTATACTTGTGGAACTAATCCCTAACACCAATATATTATAAAAAACAAGTACGGGTCATGGCCGTATAAATAAAGATCTTTATTTATACGTCCATGGTACGGGTACTGTACTCATAGTAAGTGTAAGTGAGCATACCTGACCTGATCCACAAAAATACTTGGATCAACCACCTCTACATGCGTGACGTCTGCTTTGTTTACTTTTGCATTTTTTAACCTTACTTTGCAATGTACTGGAATTTAAATGTAAATGTGTTTTTGTTTTGTTTCGATTTTTTAAAAATTATTTTAGCAAGAGTCTGTTCAGATCATTTTAAATATGAATTAATTGGATTAATGTATAATATTAATTTTATTTTATTTAATTTAACTACGATATTTCGTATCAATTTTGTACATATTTGAATTGCCGCCTTCAAAATGGCGGATTTTGGTCGTAAACGTGATTGGCTGTTCAAAATAGATGCGCGTGAGCATACCATGTTTCCTTATATCATGGTTCCCACTACTGTTTTTGACGCGTTGAGACCATGATAAGTTGATATATGTAAGATATTTTTACATATTTAAGGCTTATTTTTCTTAAATAATAAAAGTGATTTACACTTGCATACTCATAAATTATTTCCTGTATTATTATCAGTAGTAATATCCCTAGGACATTGATAACAGATGAGATAATTTCATGACAATCGAAAGCTCGTTCCTTGGTAACAGCACAAAGCCGAAGGCTGAGTGCTGTTACCAAGCAACGAGCTTGAGAAATTTGTCATGAAATTATGAGGCATTCATCAATGTCTGAGAAATATTCGGCGGATAATTTTTCGAAAAAAAAAAAAAAATCAACTCAACAGAACGAAACATTTATTTATTAAAAGTACAGTTAGTGAAAGTACAATTATTAAAATTTAAGTTAACATTAGATTCGTTGCTGTTCTCTACTATAGATCTATTACCGTGACATTTTGAAATTTATTTGGATGAAGTTGTCAAACTCGATCGTGTTGTCATAGGGATTGAAAATTGCACTGAATGCAATTATCAATCTAATGTTGACATGATTGGGTGAAATTGTTCCACATGACACAAAATGAAGAAATTTGAATGGTTGTTATGTTCTATTTTTCATGCTATTTTCTTGCAATTTATCGTTAAAATTCATGTTGCCAACATAACAATTTATAATAGATTACAGAATAAAACATAACCTTATCTCTATCCAGGAGCTTAAGGAAAGTGGACTCGTTCATTCGAAGAAAGTTTTTAAAACTTTGAAGGTCTCTAGCATCCAAGAACTCTTGGGATAACTTTAAATTTCCCAGTCCTGCATTCAACCAAGGTTTGACCCAGCATTTTCTAGGTTTTCTTTTTTTATTATGTTTCATGATGTTGCTACAACAGCAATATTCAACAATAACAATGTTTTCTTTTCTTTGGTTGACATCCTTCACCCCTTTAATAACCATAAATACTCTATATTTATTTATTATATTATTTATTTTAGTACTTAATTATATAACGATTATATTTATTTAAAATAAAATAACCTCAAATTGATAAATATTTTCTCTGTTGGCAACAATGAAAGTGGGATCTAAAATTGCACAGAAATATCTCTGATGTAAAAAGGTCAAGCTAGGCAAGAGATGTGCCATGCAAGACGGACTTGCATAGCATGAGACTTGCATAGCCTAGATGTAAAGCTGCCTTTAGAACAGTCGAAAAATTATCATTTGAATTTGAATCAGAGATATGTAAGAGAGATCTTAAGGTGGGTACACATATGCTCCGAATACCGTCTCGAACCCCGTCGCGTACAGCGACGCGATCAACAAAAGTTTGCGACGTTGTTACAGGGGGCATTGAAATAAGTAACGAACCGAACACCGCTCCGTACTTTGTACCAAACATTTTAGCGTTCCAGCAGTAATTGAGTTGAATTCGCATGTGCAAGATGGATGTTGCTGCAGCAGCCTACATTCTTATGCATTATTCAGTTAATAAAACGAAAAATATTCGTGAAAGGAGATGGTCCATTCCATTTTGATGCACTCAACTTTAAAAACACCGTCAACCTTCAAAATAATAGACTGACTATTTTGAATGACTGGAGATTCGATAAAAGATTCGCAAGCTAGTCCAAACATGAATTCGCGGTGTACATTGCCGCGCTCAAATTTCTTTTGATGCGTAGGTATTTTACCGACAACCGATGGATCGCTTCGATGTACGTTGTTGACGCGTCGAGGTACGGTACGCGGTTGCATGACTCCGTCCACACTTAAGAACGCGACGGGGTTCGGAACGGCATTCGGAGCATATGTGTACCCACCTTTACATATCTCTGATTTGAATATACTGAACTGTTGCAATCTTCATATCAGTATCTTCTTTGTCATTGTCAGTTCTGTCGCCTGTCGCAACGCAAGCTATGTTTTTTGTCATTTGTCATTTTTGTATTATTTTATTATGACATTTGACTATTTAGGACAAAATTAAAAAATTATATGTTTTGTTTAGTATTTGAGAACATGTACAAGTAGTTCCAGCTCTATTAAAAAATTTTAATTATAATAATTTATTAAGTATGTCAGAGAAAAAGCCGAATCCTTTGGATATAAATGGATCCAACTTTAATCCAAATATGTATCTAGAAAAGGTATTCAAGGAATATTCTTTGAAACAAATATTGGATCATGAAATTGAAGTAGTGAAGGATACGCAAACATTACACTCAGACATGCAGACTTTAGTATACGAAAATTATAACAAATTTATATCTGCTACAGACACAATAAAAAAGATGAAGAATGATTTCAAAAAAATGGAGACACAAATGGATCTGTTGGCTTCCAATATGGCTACAATAACATCTTTTTCAGACAAAATAAATGATACATTGCAAGATACTAGACAAACAATTAGTAAGTTATCTCGAATACATGCTCTTTTACAGAAGTTACAATTTCTCTTTAAACTACCAACTACACTTAAAGCTCGAATGGAAGAAAAAAATTATGTTCAAGCTACACAAGATTATCTCCATGCTCAGCGTGTGTTACATCAATATGGTGATATGCCTTCTTTTCAAGGTATCAAAGGAGATTGTGAATTGATTTTAATTGAACTGAAGAGAGAATTAAGAAAACAATTTGGTAATTCAGATGCATCTGCTAAGGAATTAGCAGAAGCTGTTGATTTACTATTAAAGTTAGATGAACCTGCTAAAGAGTTATGCATGGAATTTTTGTCTTGTGCTGAAAAACGTTTGGCAGAACAGTTAGTTATGTTAAAAGATCAAAGTGAGCAGCGTGATATTATTGAGTTTGTTGATCTAGGTTGTTCGGGTTTCTTAAGTGATCTGTGTTTAATTGTTGCTTCATTCCATGATATGTTTATAAATAGACTGCATATGGAAAATATTGAAAATAGTGATATATTTGAAAATTTTGCTGCAGTTGAATTAGACAGTTTTGTACAAGATAACATGAAAAAATATTTTGAACTTGTCCAAAATAAAGTTGATTCAGAGCAAGATGTTGGGGATACTTCTATATTGGTGCAAGCACTTGACAGATTTTACAAAAGAATAGAGAGTAATACTCTCTGTAAAGATATTGACTTTGCTAATGTTGCAGCAGAAATTGTTATAAATGCAGCCAGAAAACAATGCAAATCTCACTTACAGATTCTTAAGATGCATTTTGCTGACACATTAACCAAAATTAGGCAAGCCCTAACTACTCCAAAACTAATTACCCAGGAAGAATCTTCAAAAAATTTAAATGAATTATTAAATTCATTGGTCATTACTATTGTGGAAAAAGTAAAAGGAGTGTTACAAGATTTAGTAATTTTCTTACAACCTAATATTAATTTTGCTTATAAACCACAATTCAAAGATAGTTTTTGCATAGATAATGTTAGGGAAGGTTTAATAGTTTGTTTCCTTCACCATTTAACTGCTACAGCAAGAAGTTTTTGCACTAAAGGTGCATCTGACCCAAAAATTCCACCAACTCTCTTACTTTTGTTATCTAAATTCTGTGTAGATTTTCAAAATGGCCATGTCCATTTTATATTATCTCAGACAGATGAATTATTTAATATAAATGCTCAAGAAAATCTTGCTGTCTCCAATGAAATAGAAATTACAAATTCAATGCAAGAGTCTGCACAAGAATTGCTAAATTTTTTTGTTAGAATTCAAGGTCTTAACTGCTCGCAAATGTTAAGAAAAAGTGTAGAAACAAGAGATTGGCTTAACACTATAGAGCCAAGAACTGTTAGAGCTGTTATGAAGAGAGTAGTGGAAGATATTTCAGCCATTGACTCAACTGTAACACAGTTATATGAAGATCATGGAAACAATGGTACTGAACATAGTAGTGATTCTAGTCGTAAAGCACATAGTATTTCCCTGCCAAGACACCAGTACAGATCGAATTGGTCTAATTATACATCTAATCCTTTGGATTCTGCCCTAGTTTCTAATATGCACAGATTATTTAGTGAAAGAATAGATATTTTCTCATCAGTACAATTCAATAAAGTGTCTATATTAACAGGAATTATTAAAATAAGCTTAAAGACTTTTATGGAATGTGTAAGGCTTAAAACATTTAGCAAATATGGATTGCAACAAATCCAAGTGGACACACATTATTTGCAATTATATCTTTGGAGGTTTATTGCTGATGAAAATTTGGTACATTTTTTACTGGATGAAATATTAGGGTCAGCTGCCCATAGATGTCTAGAGCCAGTTTTAATGGAACCAAGTGTTGTTGATATAATTTGTGAAAGGGGATAATTAATGCAATGCTAATATTTATTGGATAGATAAATTAAATACCCCAAATATATATGTGTGTATTCCATAACTTTTCTATATGTTTATTGCAATTATTCTTTTCGTATTTTGTAAGTTTTAAAATCAAATATATTTATCTGTTTTTATTAATTATTTTATTAAACACCTAAATGAAATTCACTGCATTTTTGGAAATAAAAAATAAAAGTACCAGGAAAAAAATTGAGGTGTATATTCTAGTGTACAATGTAAATTTTCAACCCAAAATGATGTCCATATGTTTTATTAAAATTATGATTTTAATGTCACAGCTAAAATGATGCAAACTTTAAAACCAGAAAATTAATAAAGAAAACAAACTCGACATGTTAAAAAATGATTGCTAATATTTTGCCAATCATCCTTCATTATCAATTACAGCTTGTAGTCATCTAAGCATTGATTCAACCAACGTTCTAGTATACTCTGGGGAAATTGTGTCACAAGCTTCAATAATTGTTACTTTCAATTCATTTCTATTTGATATTGAAGTACTGTTTACTTTATTTTTTAGTGCCAACCACAAATTTTCAATACCATTCGAATCTGGTAACTGGTCTGGTGTTTTAATGACATTTTGGCAATTATACAGCAACCAAGTATGAAACCAATATGACATGTTTTTTGGATCTTTGTCCTGATAAAACCGATAATTATTGATACCTAATTTTTGAGCACTAGCGGCGAGATGCTGCCTTAGTATATCCAAATACATGTACTGGTTCATATTTCCTTTAATAAAATGCATGTTACGTTCTCCTGCGAATGACATACACCCCAACATCATAACCTCACCTTCACTGTAAGTTATCGTAGCTTTTATATTTTTTAATTTTAGTTCTTGATTCAACTTTCTCCACACTGATATGTTTTCATCAGACCCAAACAAGTTTATTTTGTTTAGGTCTGTTGTTTATATATTATCAGCAAATATTACTGAATTCTCAAAGCTTAAATCTTTGTTAATATGCTCTCTGGTGAACTACAATTTAATACACCTTAAAAAAGGTTTACCTATTTTTAGCAGTTCGACCATGTAGATAATTCTTTCGTAAAATCCGTCTCATTGTTTCGAGTTTACATCTTTTTCCAAACTGTCTTTCTATCTCATCTCACAATTTTGGTGCACTTTTTTTAAGGATTATTTGCTATTTCTTAGACAATCCATCTTTCTTTACGTTCAGTAAAAATCTTATTTGGAGCTAACCTTGATTTATTGTCAACTCTACTTTCATTTCGGTAACATTCAATAATGTGCTCAACTGTTAACATTTAATTAATTATTAATTAATGAACATTTATTTACCATTTTGGATATGTCTCTTTGGCCATATCCATTTCTATGGTGAGTAATAATTAAATTTCTTTCACTAATCACAGTTCGTTGACCCATTCTTAAATAATTTTGTTATATTACTTTTAAATGTCAAATTAAACACAAAATGAACTGCAATATGAATTTAATGCAACGCCTACTTCGCCAATTTTAAAATGATAAATTGTGTGATGATTCATCTTATAGGCATCATTTTAGCTGTGACATTAAAATTTTACATAAAATAATTAAATATTTATTGTTATTTAAGTATGGTATATTTGAAACCCATAGTAGTATGGTATATTTGAAAAATAGCTTATACTATTGTAAAAGACTTAATTTCAGTATATAATTTTTTTTAAATAAATATTGAGCCCCTGACACAAGCTAGTTTCATTGAGTAGCGACTGCATCATTTAAGATGTGAGCAACTGTATATAATATAATTGATTATAATTAACATTACATTTGAGTTCCACGTTGTTCTCCGAGTGCAGAGGTTCCCTCTCACCGGCTCTGGAACCCAATTGAGCCATGTGTTACCGATAGTCAAATTTAATTTAATACTGAACATCACAGTTATTTTATAACACAATGTACAATATTTCATAACTAAATGTAATTTAAAGGGTTTTTACCCTAATATTTTGGTGGCTCAGGCATTGTGACCTAGCATTTTCGATTTTAATAACCTGATGATGGACTGTGTGGTCCGAAAACGTTTGTTTTATTGATGTGGCCCTTTTAAGGGTTTTTTTTTAAATAAATATACCCATTTACAAAGATTAACCTCTTTTTTTTTTTACAAAGATTAACCTCTTTTTTTTTACATTAAAACCTTTTGAGAGTATCAGGTTCTCTGTTACGTTCAGCTGTCTCGTGGATGGATCGACAATTGTGTTGTGTCTTATTAGGTTGTTGTACATTTTGTTATATTTTCTAACAATCTGTTAAATTTGTTGATGTTTATGGTTTTTTGTCCGTTGTGCGTATACTATTGTGTACAATGTGTTATTTTATCATAAAACATGTGCTCGAATAAAAAGGCATTTCAAGAAGAAAAAACCTAAAAGGTTTTAACAAAAATTGATACCCATTATTATTTATTAACAAGGTATTCCACAAGATAGAATAAAGACAAAAACAAAACGCCACTAGCAGTCCAGAATCACTCACAAAAAAGGATTCAAGGATGACAAAATACCATATGTACAGGGCTTATCAGAAAAATTAAAAAGGATAGGAACTAAATACATCATCACAACATTTAAAACAACCAATACACTCAGATCCATCCTGTCCAAAACCAAACCCAACAATACACAAGAGAGATCAAAGAACTGCATCTATAAAATACTCTAACACAATAATTTCTTTGTGGGAGAAACCACAAGACCACTAATTGTCAGGATAAACGAGCATAAAACTTACACCAAAAAACAGGGATTTTCACAGATTACAGATATACAACATGCCTGCGAAAATGAACACATAGGTCAATGGAAAGACAATAATCATGAAAGACATGAAAAAGAGAAAATCAAAGAAGTAGCCCTCATCCTGCCCCCTAATGAAAAAAAATGTGTAGTGAACTCATCAGCAGAATATAGCAGGCTTTGGTTGCCAATGCAGAAACACACATTATAATCAGAATTGTGTAGTTTCGTAAAGCATAAAAATCCACACTCACACCTTTCCAGGCACATACGTTGGGTATGGTGTATGATATGACACCGAGGCCACAGAATAAATAACAATCAAAATGACCACTTTCAGATGCCGCCTTTAACCACGGTTCGTAGACTTACCAAAGAATATAGACGCATGTCTATTAGTGATGTAGATTATAACGAATATTCGCATTCGCGAATATTCGCATATTTTTGCATATTAGTATTCGCAAAATTTGTGCGAATGTTTTGAGAATATGAATATAAGAAAAAAAAGTAATTTGAAGATTAGGGTAATAAAATAAAAATCCATTCACTTCTCATTTTTTTTATTAAGAAAACTCACTTCATTTTACCAGCTTAGAAAACTATAAAATTGGAAAACAAAAAATAAATGATGTGATAATAAGTGAAGTTTTTAATTGTAGACAATCATCTTAAAAAACTAAGAATTATTCGACTACAAACTAAAAATAGTCTATGTGTTTTTATGTAAAGAGTTTAAACAAACAAACATAAACAGCCTGTTATTTGCTTATAGATTTTTTCCAAAAATATTGATTTTGTTTTAACAAAAATACTGCCCTCTCTTATTAAAAAAATAACAATTCTTTGTTTTTATATATTTTTCAAGTTTTTTTAACAATAAGTAAAAACAGAGAACTGTTATTTTTTAATAAATAAAATTTAATAGAGGAATATTAAACTTCAAGCCTGTTTCGATGTGGCGTATAAAGAAGTCCAGCGCCACTAAACAAGCGCTCGCTCGGGACACTCTTTGGTGGTATAACTAAATATTGCGGTACTATAGGAAAAAGAAGATCGTACCTTCCCTTGTTCACTTTCCACCATGTTAGAGGGTCGACGTCACCTACCACGCGTTTTTCCGATGAGTATTCTGTGACAATTGTACGGATTAAAAGATGGACAGGGTTTTGAAAACTCTGAAAAGAGGCATGTCATCTTTACTATCATTCGTATCCATAAGTAAACTCTTCATTTCTTTTAAGAACAGACACGATTTGCATTCCGGTAAAGTAAATTGGAAGATATGTCAGTTTGATTGTCTCTGAGCAAATCCAAAATAAGCTATATATATATGACATGCTCTTTAGTCGACGTATTTTTAAAAAAATTGTCTTTATATCTTGGGTCAATGAAGGTCGCCGTGACAAACAATATTTCATTCTTTAAACCCGAAAACTTGCTAATGAGCTCGTCTTTTATGACGGTAATCGTATCACCAATGTGTTCATCGGATGAAGAACATACAGAAGAAATAGAAACATCGACAGCACTTAATTCTCTGGTTACTTCTTCAATGGTCTTAGTAAACCGATAAGTTTTTCAACAATCATCCATTCTTCAGAAACCAGTTGAGGAATATACGCTCCAACATATAAAAAGTGATGTTCCATCTATTAGCACATTCTTGAATAATCTTAAGAGGTTTTTAATTAAACCTTTTTTGTATATTGGTCAGCTCATCTTGGGCAGCAGTCGAATGATGAAAATGAGTTGCCATTTTTTTGCATTTTGTTATGGCAGCCACGATAGATTCTTGAACCTTCATCCCTACTTTTAACACGTTTTGAATCTTGTAAGAAGCACAATCAATATGTTCAACTTTTAATAAGTTAACACCATTTTTCATATTAGCACCTGTTTCGCGAACTAACTACACATTTCACTTTTTCTTTGGGTTTTTTCCAAAACGACAAGATATCTCTAAGATTGTGAGCAATATTTTCAGCAAAATTACTGAATTACTAAATTTATCTGAACTTATCTAAACATCTCGCGCAAATGAGATTGCCGGCAGTGCCGAAGACAATTAAAATTGCAAAATTAAAAAAACTGAATATTCGCATTCGCGAATGTCGGTAGCATATATTCGCATTCGCGAATGTTCAAAAAATGACATTCGTTACATCACTAATATCTATATTCTTTGGACTTACTACGGTTGCCTCTTCCGACTGGGGTGGGGAGAGTTAAATGCTTGAGTTACGTCACCAGAGTACACAAGAATACAAAGCCTATTTATTATCACAGTTTGTTCGTGGTAATTATCTTTCAGTTTATTATTTGCTTTATTATTTATCGTTTCTTAAATATCTTAGTTTACTTTATATTTTTGTATTTGAAAATTTGGTGTTGTTTTCTGTAAAAACTATTTTTACTTAAAAAGTTATTTATTGTAGTTGTACATCGTATGTACCTATTATAGAGTACCTTACATAAGAATATAAGAATATCTTTTTATAAGGTAGGTTAAAACTTTAAAATTTCATTGTCTATTAACGTAATGATAATGTTGATGAAATTTTAGAATGCCTGGCACAGGTTGTAATGTGGCTACTTGTAAAATAATTAAAAAAAACAATAGGTTTACCGATCCTGATCCACTAATAGCATTTTTCACGTTTCCCAAAAATACAAAATTAGAAAAAATATGGGTTATGCGCTGTCGCAGAAAAGATACAATTAATATAAAAACTGCAAGAGTATGTAGTAATCATTTCAGTGATGATTTTGTGGATGACATGTATGCTCGAATAATAGGAACTAGGTTTAAGTTGAAATTAAAGGATAGAGGTAAGTGTTGTTGACTTATAATTCTGTTTATTATTATCACTATTTTATACCAATTCCGAGTAAAAACTTAAAATCTCAAGATGTTTAAAAACAAACAAAATGTGAACCTACAGCAAGAAGAGATAAAAGAGTAGCAATGAAAACCCTAACAGCTATCATTGAAGACATAAGAAAAATATTTAAAAAATGAAAAAATAATTATGTAGTGTATATTTATATCTATTGGAAATATAATAAGCTAGTTACGTTTTTTACCAATTAAAATTTATTACCTATTATTTAAATTCTTACATTAAATTATACAAATAATTCTAACTCAGATAATCCTAGCTAACCTCTAAGGACCGGTAATTCATTCAAAAGTTAACCCAGTATTGATAATTCAGTATATGCGACAAATTTTGAGTGTAAAATGGAGATTACAATTGGAGATTTATTCTGATTATTTTAAGTATTAAAATACCTACATATCAACAGTTTTCCATAATTAGGTATTATAATCCACTATTTATGTGGATTAATTATGTATATTTATTTATGATACCCACGAAATGAAAGGTTCTAGAAAAAGCACAAGAACGAATGTCCTTAAAAGTAATAAGGGAAATATTATTACTAATGTGAAGGAAATATTGTGTCACTGGACTAATTACATCCAAAATCTACTGAATGAAGAAAGAGAATAACTGTCATTACAAACCACAGATGATACCGGACCACAATATTACGGGAAGAAGTCATATGACGAATTTAAAATTCTTCACTTTCAAAATAAAGGCCTTAAGCTATCTTTGTTAGAATCTATGGAAATCAACACATTAAAAAAACACAGATATAATTCTGAATGACCAACTTGAGACAAACAGTTCTCCCCTCCTCAACCTATTTCATTAAAGACTATAAAGTGTAAACGCATGCCAAAAATAGATCACTTGAGAAAGTCAATCAGCCGAAACAGCTATAGTGTTAAGAGTTTAAAATAAATTTTGTGAAAGTTTTGAAAACAAAGTTTTCAGTGTTTTATTGTTACATAAAATGAATTTCCATCAAGTAACGGTCGAATCCATCAATTAGTCATATTAGCCATCAAAAACATAAAAGAGGACAAAGCTACTGAACCAGATAATGTGCCCATCGAATTATTAAAACTCATTGATGAAGATGTTATTGCTGTAATGGTTGAACTCTTTAATCTAATATATCAGACTGCCACAATCCTGAGACAATGGCTGCAATCGACCTTTGTGGCAATACCCAAAAAGTAAAGGGCAACATCGTGCTCAGATTACAGAACAATAGCTTTAATGAGTCACACACTTAAAACATTTTGGAAAACAATACACAGCAGAATTGAAAAATTGAACTGAGAAATTAAATATGAAATTATTGACACACAATTTGCATTTAGAAATGGTATGGGCACAAGAGATGCTTTGTTCGACTTAAATGTGCTGGCCCAAAGATGCACGGACATGAATCAGGACATGTACTTATGTTTTGTAGATTTTGAAAAGGCATTTGATAAGGTTCAACATAAAAAGTTTGTAGACATATTAAAAAGCAAAAATATTGACAGTTGTGATATAAAAATTATATTTAATCTATATTGTAATCTAACTGCCAAATTAAGAGTTGACAACCAGAACACAAGATATATCAAAATACATTGAAAGTCCACTAGGGTTGCGTGCTGTCATCACTACTCTTCTTTGGTATTTAAAGAAGCGCTCTTCTTTATGTAAATAACTTGCGTTTTGCAGACGATAGAGTAATAATGACGGATAACAGCAATGATTTACAGAACGTAATGCAACGCATTAATGAATGTTGTCGTGAACACGGACTAAGAATGAATTAAAAAAAAAAACTAAATGCATGATCATGACTAAATCAGCAGATGCAACCATCCAATTGATTGTTAAAGATACTTAATTGAGAGTATGGATACCTACAAATACTTAGGAATATGGATAACATCAAATGCAGACCAAACCAAAGAAATTAAGACGCGTATTGAAATAGCACATGCATCATTAGTTAAACATAAAAAGTTTTTTTTTGCCGGGATATAAGGTTAGCGCTACGCCTACGGATGCGTCAGTGTTACGTATTCAGTACTCTTCTTTATGGCTTGGAAGCATGGACATTGAAACAGATGCATCTGAATAAGTTAACCGCCTTTGAATTTTGGTGTTACAGAAGAATCCAACGAATATCATAGACTCAAAGAATGTCAAACGCAGATGTTACTAGAAGAATAGGAAATGAAGCTAAAATAATATTGACTATCAAAAGAAGAAAACTTGAGTACTTAAGACATGTGATGAGAGGACAAAAATACTCATTATTGCAAGTTATTATGCAACACAAAATTTGAGAAAAGCGAAATGTGGGAAGACAAAGAATATCTTGGCTTAAGAACTTAAGGGAAAGGTTTGAATACCGTAGTGTGGAACTATTTAGAGCGGCAGTTAACAGGGTCTGCATAGCCATGATGATTTCCAACCTTCGATAGAAGATGGAACTTGAAGAATAAGAAGACCCATTCCAGAAATCACCAGCTTGTAAAAGTCGAGTGGATTATGTTTCTGGAGTCACTTGATAGGTTCCAAAAAATATTTGTTACAAATAAACACAAAACATTGTGTTATTTTAGTTAGATACAGGTATATTTTTCTATCTTCGATCATTTATAGAAAATTTTTTATATGCTGTTACGATTGTGGGCTTGTTGGAATTGCTCTTCATATTATATCCAACAATGATGCAACACCAATTTTCTCTGATATACTTTTACCAATATAAAAAATGATTAAAACCTTATAGATTTTAATTAAAATAAAAAATTAATACAATATAAATACAATTAAGTCATATACTATTCATATATAAATATAATGTCATACAATAGCTAACTAACCTAAAGTTTTTTTAATTTTCTTAAGCCAATTTATCAGTAATTCGGATGGATTTAAATTCGTCACATGGTCAAATATACTTGAAACGAATTCCTTGGAGTATCGATTTTGATCCTTGACTAAAGCCGCTAAAAGTACTGCCCAGCCATCAACCAAATTTGGATAACAATAAATAGCTTTTTGCGCTGATATCAGTACACTTTTTATGTCACCTGCCAGTAGATGTCCTAGGGATATACATCCCAAAATTTTTGTAATGTTTATATTAGATTGCCCGAGTTGAAAAGCAATTTGAGAACACTTTACAGCTGCTTTAGCTCTCTTATGTTCACTTTTAACTCTTAAAATAGTTATTGCTAGTACAAGCCAAATATTTGCATTATCAGGATGTCTATGAACTAATTTTGAGAGTTCTTTGACGGCTTTATCAGGTTTTTCTTCTCTTAAAAATTTTAAACATAATAACACCGCATAATGTGGAAGACAGTCTTTTTTATCTTTTAAATGTTCTAATTCTTTTAATACCAGCTCTGCCAGTTCGAAATCCCTGTGGACCAAACCCAAAGCTAATGTTGCGTAGAGACCCCAAGGAGATGGCGGTTTTAACTGTATACTTTGAAATAAAAGAGTTTTAGCTCCTTCCAAACCCTGAAACATGTATGCCATTGATGCTAACGCTACTAATAATTCTGATTGATGAGATTGTTCCTCAGTTAACCAATGTAACGCTTGATCATAGGCGGCATACGATTCTTCATAATGTTGACTTTTGAATAATGCTAAGGCCAAACCACTACCAGAACTAAAGGTAGCTACTTCTACCTCTTGAAAGATATTTATAGCTTGAACATACTTCTCGTGTTTTGAAAGTAATCTACCGTAATTTACTCTGGCCAAGTCTCGCTGATTTGGAGAACAATCATATGCATTCTTGAAAGCTTCCAAGCTGCCTAAAATTATGTTAAAAAAATTGTTAGTAAAACATATATATATTTTGTAAGCTTCATCAGGAGACGACTAAAATATGATTAAAAGTTATATAAAAATCAGTTTAGAATAAACAATGAATCACTTACAGATTTAGACTGGAAAATATTTAAAAAAGTTGTACATGATATGTTCAAAACAGTACTGACAGTATTGGTTAAAAGCACCTAGGTCACTAGTAATTAAGTATAAAAACAGCAAACAAAAACAACCAAGAAACAATTAAAACATAATAAAATTACACATTAAAAATATACAGGTTGATTTAAAATATAATTGTAAACAGAACAATTATTTGGACATACTAAGAATATTACAGTAGATATTGTTCAACTGTCCCGTGTCTGCCTTGTAATTTACTGCATAGTTTTCTTTATTTATATGACACATTTCCAAAAACAATCTTTTTTTGTAATTATTTTCTTGCTGTGGAACCCTGACATTTGAGTAGTCAAATTGATGGCCAGTTTTTAAGTGATGGTCAACTGCCGCACATGTATTCTTCCGTTTTGTGCAGTCACTTTTGTGTTGGGTGACCCTTTGTTTTAGCCATTAAGAAGTTTGGCCAACTAATATTATCTACAAACAAGGTAGTTTGTAGATAATATTAGTTTTATTTACAGTTTGTGTCTTGTCTTTTACTTTAGAAAACAGTTGTCGGTTTTCTAATAAATTATATTGGACAATTTTAATGTTAGTAAATTATTTAAATAAACTAGTCACAGAAGGTGTTAACTGTTTTATTAATGGTAGTTTTTTATATAGTATTGTTTGTACTGCACCGATATCAGTGGGACCGTCAAAAATGTCTGAGTTGAATATCAATTTTTTAAGGATATGTTTTGGGTATCCATTATTTTGAAAGATGTTTAACAGCAAATTTAAGTTTTTGTTTATGAATTTATCATCACTAATATGCCTTACCCTATTCTTCATTGCAATGACTGTATTAAACTTTTGATGAGTAGGATGATTTGAAAAAAAGTTTAAATATCTTCCAGAGTGTGTTGGCTTTTAATACCAATCCACAGAATAATAAACATACAGAATACCCACTCTCCACGGAAAATTAAGTACGCGCATCTCCTCCGCGCAGACGTTCCGCCATGTTTTAGGAGGATTTTAAAGAAATTATGTGGTGTGCATGGAAAAATTAACCAGGTTTATTTGACTTACGGCAATCATAGACATACTATACAATTATATTAACATTGTTAAATATAATAACATAAATATAATATAATTAAACATAAATATAAACAATTACATAACCACACAAATCATATGTCTGTGTCCTCCTCAAACATGGCGCGCGTGCTGAAAAACTTCAAAGGCGGCATCTGAGAGTGGCCCTTCTGATTGTTTATTATTCTGTGACCAATCTATCTATTATTTTGTTTTGTTCTTTGTTCTTGACTGCACAAAACGGAAGAATACATGTGCGGCAGTTGACCATCACTTAAAAACTGGCCATCAATTTGACTATTCAAATGTCAAGGTTCTACAGCGAGAAAATAATTACAAAAAAAGATTGTTTTTGGAAATGTGTCATATAAATAAAGAAAACTATGCAGTAAAGTACAAGGAAGACACGGGACAGTTGAGCAATATCTACTGTAATATTCTTAGTATGTCCAAATAATTTTTCTGTTTACAATTATATTTTAAATCACCCTGTATATTTTTAATGTGCAATTTTATTGTGTTTTAATTGTTTCTTGGTTGTTTTTGTTTGCGCCGTTTTTATATTTAATTACTAGTGACCTAGGTGCTTTTAACCAATACTGTCAGTACTGTTTTGAACATATCATGATGTACAACTTTTTTAAATATTTTCCACTCTAAATCTGTAAGTGATTCATTGTTTATTCTAAACTGATTTTTATATAACTTTTAATCATATTTTAGTTGTCTGCTGATGAAGCTGACAAAAAATCAGCGAAATATAGAGAATTAAAAGAAAAAAGACTTACCAGTTTTGCTATATATATACAGTGTAGGTAAAATTTTATGGTCGGTATGGTAAAACTTAACAGGATATCTAACACAGATATAAAATCATATTTTCAGCGAATAGACAAAGATAACAATCATATTCCCCCTTGGTCTCCCCTCCATAAATCTTTTTGACGCCCATTTTGCCTGTTAGTGAGACGATTAGTTCCGATCAGAGATATTTTACATATTCTGTGGTTCCGATCCTCATAAAGCTAAGAAACTAGAGGTGGGTCCTTTAGTTTTTTAAATTTTTATCGGAACCGTTTTTCGTAAACTGTAACTAGTTGATTGTTTACCAGTATTCAAATTAGCGAGTACACAAACATATTGGCTATTATCGTTTATCTGTATAAGTATTAAAGTGAAAGAAACTAACGAAGAATATATTTATTATAACTTGAAAAATAAATTAAACAATACAAATAGTACTTACATTTACATGGACTTAAGTCATCTTTATCAGTTTCTTTTTCTTGTACTAGTTAATTTTCAATAGTATAATCTTCTTTTTCTTTTTTTTTTATGGAAGTAACCAGCTTCAACCATCAACTAGTTGATTTTAACGAATTTAACCGAAAATTTAGAGTTTAACACGGTTTAATTAGACTGCTGCCATTTTTCTGGAAACCATAATTCAGAAAACATCGCTTTTAAAATTAGTGAAATTATTATTCAGTGGGGTCTAAAACAAAAAGTAAATTTTGCAGTAACTGATAATGCCTCAAATATGGTCATAGCTATTAAATATGCTTTGGAATGAAAACATTTAAATTGTTTTGCTCATACGTTAAATTTATTGATGGAGGACGCACTTAAATGCTGTCGTGTACAAATAGATAAAATAAAAAGTCTTTTTTTTTCGACAATTCGGCAAAAAACACATTTCAAAAAAGTACCTTATCTTCAGAAACGCTTTTAAAGTATCAATTACAACATAACAAAGATCCCAAACGGCCAATCCAAGACGTGGAAACTAGGTAGAACTTCACCTATTACATGTTAGAAAGAATGACGGAGTTAGAAGAGGCAATCCGTTCCACATTGGTATCAGTTAATACAGACTTAGACTTAGACCAAATCTAAATAATGAAGACTGGATTATTTTTTCATAATTGTCCTAAATTTTACGGCCTTTTAAAGAAATAACAAGTACAATGAGTGGCCAAAAATACTTGAATGATAGTTCAGTGATTGTTCTGGTACGCTGCCTGCAAAAATCTTGCAATAAAATTTTAGCAAACAGTAACCTTACATCCATAGTTAGTATCCGACGTAGTACGGGTTTTTATTACTAATTACGGGATAATTACTAATCTCGGGTTTAGCAAAAAGATTTAGAGTGATAGAATACAGTGGCATATTGTCATTATGTACGTTTATGGATTTACGATTTAAAGTGCAGGGATTTTCTGATAAAAATGACGCTAAAAAACCAAAAGAAAGAGTTAAGAAGCTGGTTACTTCTATAATTAAAGAACAAGAAGATTGTACTATTGAAAATCAACCAGTATAAGAAAAAGAAACCGATAAAGATTACTTAAGTCCATGGTGTATTTTTGATCAATTAATTGGACATGACTTATCTAAACGTACACCTGTAGCAAGAGTCCATTACAATGGTGGAAAAACCATCGCCATGTATCTCCTAACTTAACCACTATATTCATAAAGTATTGTAAATGTGAACACATGTTCAAAATCAGGTTTAATTTTAAATAAAAGAAAAACACAATTAATAAGAAGTAAAGTAAAAAAACTTATGTTTTTAAATGTCAATTTAGACGATTCGTGATTTAATAATAACGTGTAATGTAAACGTAGGTACGATTTACTATTTGTATTGTTTAGTTTAGTTTTCAAGTTATAATAAAATATTTTATTAGTTTCCTTCACTTCAATAAATATACAGATAAACGATAATAGCCATTATGTTTGTTTATGTAGGTAGTTTCTTACTTGAAACTACTATTAAAAAATCATAGTTACTTGTTTACGAAAATCGGTTTTGCTACGTCAATGACCCACCTCTATTCGTAAATACCTGTTTATGCGTTGATTCGGTGATTTGACCACGCGACACGCCACGTTGGCAAATAGTTTTGTACGAAGCTTTTTTATTTATATGCAGTTTAATATTTTTATTGGAAATAAGGCATAATGTCACTTTAAAATAAGCTTATTTTGATGTTTAGATTTTTAATTCGGAAATCGTTTTTTAAAATACCAAACATTAATAAATTTTATTATATAAAACGATTTCCGAAGTATAAATCAAAATGTTATATTACACTTATTGTAAAGTAAAATTGTGGCATATTCCCAATAAAAAACAATAAGCTGCCATTTAAATCCATTTCGCCCAAATTTCATTATCTTGGAGCATTGTTCAAATGCGAAAAAGACAACAGGTCAAATAAAACCAATAAGTTTGGCAACGTTGAATTTCCCCTTTTTATTATATCCACTCCATATCCACTCATTTATGTTCGGTGATATAAAAGGCGGACACCTAATATATCTCTCTCTTTTTAAACAGTTGTTTCTCACTCTATCTCATGTAAGGTCCATACCGACCATAAACTTTTACCTATACTGTATACAGATTGAACCAAATTAAAACGGAACATACAATTTAATACATGTCTGTTTGAACTGCATTTAAAATAGTGGACCAATATAAAACTTGGACAAAAATAAATCCATACCTGGGAATAGACATTGTATAAAATATCGTTCAACTATCTGTCTCGCAACAAAGTTGTTTGCGTAAGACGGGTTTATCTAAGGAGGCGTAATAGTTCAGGAATTGAAGCTCGAAAAAAGTTAAAACCTCGCAATTTTTTCGTCCTGCATGTATCCAGTTGAAATTTTAGCAGAAGGTAGGTAATAGCCCAAGGATCAAAATCTATATTGAATAGAAGTGCGCTGATGGGTTTTAGGGGTGAAAACTACCCCTAATTGTCAA